AGGCCCGAAATCTCGTCAATTCTGTGGTTACTCCCTTTCCCTCAAAAAAACAAGGGTTAACCTGTTGAAGTTTTAGATAAGAAATAGTTATAATGGCTTCCAAAGGTTTAAATGCTTCTGCTTTTGTGGCAGAAGGAGCCAGCAACAGAACGTGTCTGGCCAAAGAGATTAGGGTTTAAATAGTCCAATGTATATAAACGAAAGACCTATGTCAAATCATGCGTAAAGGTTCCTGCCTCATATATATATATATATGTATGTATACATGTGTATATATATATATATATTATATGTGTGTGTCTGTCTGCATGTATGTATGTATGCACAATGTATGCGCCGTTTATGTTTTTATGTTTTTTTTTTTTAAACTTTTTTCAAGGGCCAATTCAGATTCTGAATTGCTTGTGAGTCTGCTATTTAGTTCTTGGGGCCATCAACCCAAGGTCCTGCTGAGGCCATGGGGTTAGGGCCTAGGAAGTCTTGGATGTTGGACCCAGACCCATCTCCACAACAATTGGTCGGCAGCTGCTAGCTCCCGAGTTGCAGCCTGCAATGCAAGGCCTTACAAGCAACGCGCCGCGCGGCCCCAGCGCAAACTCCTACGTGGATTCGCGTGAAGGAAGTTAAAAAAGTCTCAGACATGTTGCGGTGATCCGGCATGTGCCGCAGAAGAGAAGCTGTTTTCGCTGTCTTCTCAGCAACAACTAGGGCATGTGCAGAGTGGGCTGTTTTGTCTGTTTATGGTCCCAAGGCTGCCTCAAGACAATTGCCCCTCTGTTGAAAGGCCTGGGGCGGAGCAACATCTATGCGCCCTTGGCTGTGCAGAACGGAATGGAGAAGGCTGACAGGGCGAAAGACATAGACCATAAAAATGCTCCAAAGGCTCTAAGACTAAGACCTTGAGAGGTGCCCCGCCCGATGCCTTTCTGGGGATCCTGTGTGGGTGCTTGCGTTTCTGCTTCAGGCGGTGAAATCTCCTTTGGCTCAGCTCGCTGCGGCACTTGCCAGGTCAATATGCAGAAGTTTGCGCGCCTGGCCAACGCGTTCAAGATGCGTCAAGACAAGAGGCAGACTTGGCACTGGTACTCGGCAGCCCGAAGCATTGCTGAAGATGTACGGCAGCTGCAGCGCATGTTGTGAGACAACTACTCCTAGAGTCAGCTCATAGCACAAAGCTGCGGAGACGTCATTGACCAATGTGCAATCCATGCGCCATTCACAGGGATATTGACAAGTTCGTCAACTGGCGGAAGCTGAGGCAGGGTGTCAACCGAAGATAGCTAAGATTCCGCATCGTTTCACCCCGTCAGTTTGAGGTCAGGGCTGCACGGCTCATGGCCTCAAGATGTTGTGCTTCCATGGCCATGCTGTCAGTGTTCGTGGGAGATACGATTTTCAAGGAAAAAGACTCCTGCATTCAGACGGGCATGGGCTTAGTCGGCATGAACCGCGGCCTTTTGTGGAACATTTAGCTTGTGATGGCTTGTGAGGCTTCTGGTCCAAGGCTCCCATTGCTCGAAAGCGTGCCCTTACGACTCTTGCGTCATCCTGCAGCCATGTTTCGTGTTGCCCTCTGCGCAACCTTCATCCTGCAGGCACAGGCGGGATTCTTCGATGGTCTCACAAAGTCGCTGACGGATGCAACTGCTCAGCTCGGTGGAATGATGAAGGATCAGCTCAAGAACAACCCACAGGCTGCAGATTTCGCAAAGGCTTTGCAGATCAGCGACGGCAGCATTGACAAGGCCCAGTCAATGCTTGACTCCGCGATGACCAAGATCAATACCATCACGGCGGAAATCCCCACCATCCCCGGCCAGATGCAGGCAGCAACAGACATCGGCAACACTGCACAACTGGATGCCCTGAAGCAGCGAATGCTCGGCCTGCAAAAGGATCTCTGCAAGCAGATTGATGGCGTCAACCAGGCGGAGAAGGAGGTGGGAGACACCACCAACTCCATCCAAGGGGTCATGAACGATCTGACCAAGGACGTGGTGGAGGATGCGGCTAAGCCGGAGGAGGCGAAGATAGCTCCTTTCATGAGCCAGTTCAAGACCGCCCTCGACAAGGCCGCTCAGGTCGGCGCCAAGGCCCAGTCCGTGAGCATCTTCAAGGGCATGTGCCAGCAAAGCGCCCCTGCGCAGCCCACCCAGCTCTACTCATCCGGCTTTCATGTGCCCTCGGCTCTGATGGGCGCAGGCCTGGCCTCGATGGCCATCGCGGTGGCCTTTGTTGCCTTGGGGGGTGTGGCTGCATTCCGTGCCCTCCGGAGGCGCACCGACACCTTCACGCTTGTGGATCATGCGTGCTAGCCAGCTCTCCGATGCGGCGGGGCCCCAGCTTGGAAGACGCTGAGTCGCTGGGGCTCATCTGAGGCCTCTAGGGCCAAAAGCAGACCCTTAGTATCCTTGATCAAAAAGCATAGTTTAATCCTTCCACATATGGCTGTCGTTGCTTGCCTGTAGCGCGACCAAAGAGCCCGGACCAATGTGCTCCGGGTGAATTGGGAAATGGCTATACTGTCACTGCTCGTATACAATTTTCAAGGAAAAAGACTCATGCATTCAGACGGGCATGGGCTTAGTCGGCATGAACCGCGGCCTTTTGTGGAACATTTAGCTTGTGATGGCTTGTGAGGCTTCTGGTCCAAGGCTCCCATTGCTCGAAAGCGTGCCCTTACGACTCTTGCGTCATCCTGCAGCCATGTTTCGTGTTGCCCTCTGCGCAACCTTCATCCTGCAGGCACAGGCGGGATTCTTCGATGGTCTCACAAAGTCGCTGACGGATGCAACTGCTCAGCTCGGTGGAATGATGAAGGATCAGCTCAAGAACAACCCACAGGCTGCAGATTTCGCAAAGGCTTTGCAGATCAGCGACGGCAGCATTGACAAGGCCCAGTCAATGCTTGACTCCGCGATGACCAAGATCAATACCATCACGGCGGAAATCCCCACCATCCCCGGCCAGATGCAGGCAGCAACAGACATCGGCAACACTGCACAACTGGATGCCCTGAAGCAGCGAATGCTCGGCCTGCAAAAGGATCTCTGCAAGCAGATTGATGGCGTCAACCAGGCGGAGAAGGAGGTGGGAGACACCACCAACTCCATCCAAGGGGTCATGAACGATCTGACCAAGGACGTGGTGGAGGATGCGGCTAAGCCGGAGGAGGCGAAGATAGCTCCTTTCATGAGCCAGTTCAAGACCGCCCTCGACAAGGCCGCTCAGGTCGGCGCCAAGGCCCAGTCCGTGAGCATCTTCAAGGGCATGTGCCAGCAAAGCGCCCCTGCGCAGCCCACCCAGCTCTACTCATCCGGCTTTCATGTGCCCTCGGCTCTGATGGGCGCAGGCCTGGCCTCGATGGCCATCGCGGTGGCCTTTGTTGCCTTGGGGGGTGTGGCTGCATTCCGTGCCCTCCGGAGGCGCACCGACACCTTCACGCTTGTGGATCATGCGTGCTAGCCAGCTCTCCGATGCGGCGGGGCCCCAGCTTGGAAGACGCTGAGTCGCTGGGGCTCATCTGAGGCCTAGGGCCAAAAGTAGACCCTTGGTACCCTTAGAATCGTTTCGCTTTATCCCTCCGAGTTTTGCTGTCACTTGCTTGTAGGGCGACACAAGAGCCCGGACCAATGTGCTCCGGGTGAATTGGGAAATGGCTATACTGTCACTGCTCGTGGGAGATACAATTTTCAAGGAAAAAGACTCATGCATTCAGACGGGCACGGTCTTACTCGGCATGAACCGCGGCCTTTTGTGGAACATTTAGCTTGTGATGGCTTGTGAGGCTTCTGGTCCAAGGCTCCCATTGCTCGAAAGCGTGCCCTTACGACTCCTGCGTCATCCTGCAGCCATGTTTCGTGTTGCCCTCTGCGCAACCTTCATCCTGCAGGCACAGGCGGGATTCTTCGATGGTCTCACAAAGTCGCTGACGGATGCAACTGCTCAGCTCGGTGGAATGATGAAGGATCAGCTCAAGAACAACCCACAGGCTGCAGATTTCGCAAAGGCTTTGCAGATCAGCGACGGCAGCATTGACAAGGCCCAGTCAATGCTTGACTCCGCGATGACCAAGATCAATACCATCACGGCGGAAATCCCCACCATCCCCGGCCAGATGCAGGCAGCAACAGACATCGGCAACACTGCACAACTGGATGCCCTGAAGCAGCGAATGCTCGGCCTGCAAAAGGATCTCTGCAAGCAGATTGATGGCGTCAACCAGGCGGAGAAGGAGGTGGGAGACACCACCAACTCCATCCAAGGGGTCATGAACGATCTGACCAAGGACGTGGTGGAGGATGCGGCTAAGCCGGAGGAGGCGAAGATAGCTCCTTTCATGAGCCAGTTCAAGACCGCCCTCGACAAGGCCGCTCAGGTCGGCGCCAAGGCCCAGTCCGTGAGCATCTTCAAGGGCATGTGCCAGCAAAGCGCCCCTGCGCAGCCCACCCAGCTCTACTCATCCGGCTTTCATGTGCCCTCGGCTCTGATGGGCGCAGGCCTGGCCTCGATGGCCATCGCGGTGGCCTTTGTTGCCTTGGGGGGTGTGGCTGCATTCCGTGCCCTCCGGAGGCGCACCGACACCTTCACGCTTGTGGATCATGCGTGCTAGCCAGCTCTCCGATGCGGCGGGGCCCCAGCTTGGAAGACGCTGAGTCGCTGGGGCTCATCTGAGGCCTAGGGCCAAAAGTAGACCCTTGGTACCCTTAGAATCGTTTCGCTTTATCCCTCCGAGTTTTGCTGTCACTTGCTTGTAGGGCGACACAAGAGCCCGGACCAATGTGCTCCGGGTGAATTGGGAAATGGCTATACTGTCACTGCTCGTGGGAGATACAATTTTCAAGGAAAAAGACTCATGCATTCAGACGGGCACGGTCTTACTCGGCATGGACCGCGGCCTTTTGTGGAACATCTAGCTTGTGACGGCTTGTGAGGCTTCTGGTCCAAGGCTCCCATTGCTCGAAAGCGTGCCCTTACGACTCTTGCGTCATCCTGCAGCCATGTTTCGTGTTGCCCTCTGCGCAACCTTCATCCTGCAGGCACAGGCGGGATTCTTCGATGGTCTCACAAAGTCGCTGACGGATGCAACTGCTCAGCTCGGTGGAATGATGAAGGATCAGCTCAAGAACAACCCACAGGCTGCAGATTTCGCAAAGGCTTTGCAGATCAGCGACGGCAGCATTGACAAGGCCCAGTCAATGCTTGACTCCGCGATGACCAAGATCAATACCATCACGGCGGAAATCCCCACCATCCCCGGCCAGATGCAGGCAGCAACAGACATCGGCAACACTGCACAACTGGATGCCCTGAAGCAGCGAATGCTCGGCCTGCAAAAGGATCTCTGCAAGCAGATTGATGGCGTCAACCAGGCGGAGAAGGAGGTGGGAGACACCACCAACTCCATCCAAGGGGTCATGAACGATCTGACCAAGGACGTGGTGGAGGATGCGGCTAAGCCGGAGGAGGCGAAGATAGCTCCTTTCATGAGCCAGTTCAAGACCGCCCTCGACAAGGCCGCTCAGGTCGGCGCCAAGGCCCAGTCCGTGAGCATCTTCAAGGGCATGTGCCAGCAAAGCGCCCCTGCGCAGCCCACCCAGCTCTACTCATCCGGCTTTCATGTGCCCTCGGCTCTGATGGGCGCAGGCCTGGCCTCGATGGCCATCGCGGTGGCCTTTGTTGCCTTGGGGGGTGTGGCTGCATTCCGTGCCCTCCGGAGGCGCACCGACACCTTCACGCTTGTGGATCATGCGTGCTAGCCAGCTCTCCGATGCGGCGGGGCCCCAGCTTGGAAGACGCTGAGTCGCTGGGGCTCATCTGAGGCCTAGGGCCAAAAGTAGACCCTTGGTACCCTTAGAATCGTTTCGCTTTATCCCTCCGAGTTTTGCTGTCACTTGCTTGTAGGGCGACACAAGAGCCCGGACCAATGTGCTCCGGGTGAATTGGGAAATGGCTATACTGTCACTGCTCGTGGGAGATACAATTTTCAAGGAAAAAGACTCATGCATTCAGACGGGCACGGTCTTACTCGGCATGGACCGCGGCCTTTTGTGGAACATCTAGCTTGTGACGGCTTGTGAGGCTTCTGGTCCAAGGCTCCCATTGCTCGAAAGCGTGCCCTTACGACTCTTGCGTCATCCTGCAGCCATGTTTCGTGTTGCCCTCTGCGCAACCTTCATCCTGCAGGCACAGGCGGGATTCTTCGATGGTCTCACAAAGTCGCTGACGGATGCAACTGCTCAGCTCGGTGGAATGATGAAGGATCAGCTCAAGAACAACCCACAGGCTGCAGATTTCGCAAAGGCTTTGCAGATCAGCGACGGCAGCATTGACAAGGCCCAGTCAATGCTTGACTCCGCGATGACCAAGATCAATACCATCGCGGCGGAAATCCCCACCATCCCCGGCCAGATGCAGGCAGCAACAGACATCGGCAACACTGCACAACTGGATGCCCTGAAGCAGCGAATGCTCGGCCTGCAAAAGGATCTCTGCAAGCAGATTGATGGCGTCAACCAGGCGGAGAAGGAGGTGGGAGACACCACCAACTCCATCCAAGGGGTCATGAACGATCTGACCAAGGACGTGGTGGAGGATGCGGCTAAGCCGGAGGAGGCGAAGATAGCTCCTTTCATGAGCCAGTTCAAGACCGCCCTCGACAAGGCCGCTCAGGTCGGCGCCAAGGCCCAGTCCGTGAGCATCTTCAAGGGCATGTGCCAGCAAAGCGCCCCTGCGCAGCCCACCCAGCTCTACTCATCCGGCTTTCATGTGCCCTCGGCTCTGATGGGCGCAGGCCTGGCCTCGATGGCCATCGCGGTGGCCTTTGTTGCCTTGGGGGGTATGGCTGCATTCCGTGCCCTCCGGAGGCGCACCGACACCTTCACGCTTGTGGATCATGCGTGCTAGCCAGCTCTCCGATACGGCGGAACCCCAGCTTGGAAGACGCTGAGTCGCTGGGGCTCATCTGCGGCCGATTAGTACCCTTAGAATCGTTTCGCTTTATCCTTCCAGCTGTCACTTGCTTGTAGGGCGACGAAAGTAAGAGCCCGGACCAATGTGCTCCAGGTGATTTGGGACATCGCTCGACGCAACTTGATTCGAACTCCCGACAACAAATCTATCAGATTCTCGTGGTTCTGTTGAGAGCCATTTGGATGCCAGAATACTTTCTGCGGATTATTGTTGGATCTATTCGTGAATTGTTTCTTTTGCATGTTCATGGAAAGCAAGGGCTGTATATTCGCTAAGATGGAAATATCACTTAGTTCTTTATGTCTGTATATTATATATATATGTATTCAGCACCTTCGGTGGGGGGTTGTTAGATTTTAAACTCAACTCAGAGACTCGCTGGAGTGCCCAACCTAGAGACTCTTGGAGTGCCTAAATTCAGAATCTTTCTGGAGTGCCCAACCCCAGAGTCTCCCTGGAGTACCCAACCCCAGAATCTCCCTGGAGTGCCCAACCCTAATTGCAAGCAAAAACTCAGAAAACGTATTTGAATCAATGTGTCTTTGTTTGATCATCTTGCGTTCTTTCTTTTTAACGAGGAATAAGATGGGGATGTGCGAAGCAAAATAATTTATCTAAATCTATATTCTAAGATTAAATTCTCAAATGTAATGTTTCCATGAAGATTTTTTTCGTAATTTTGGCGTCATTTTTATCAAAAGGGTTTATGGCGGCCGGTAAATGGCTTTGGACATAATTTTTTTCTAATTTGGAGATCTATAATTTGCCTAAATTTATCATCTTTTGAATTTAATTTGTATTATATATATTATTTTATTTATTTATTTCTTGGAGATAAAAAACTCGAATATATGGACTAAGAAGGATGAAAACCGATATACTCTAATTGAATGGAAAACATCGAAATCTAATTTTTGAATGATGGGATAACCTAATGGAATCTTATGGTCATAGGCTTGATACTAGAATTTCGATTTGATTAATATTTAATAGAGACTTCTATCCCCAAAGCACCACTTGAAAGGAGACTTATGCTCCCATGATATCGGATGCCCTAACATCCAGACACACAAAAGGCAGCAACGTAAGCAATCAAGGGACCCAAGGCATATTAAAAGCCCGCCTCCACCCCGAATTACGCCCCAGGTCCCACGATCGCGGGAGACGAGAAGAACACAATTGGCATCCGAATTCCCATCTTGAAATGAACAACGAACGTGAAACACGAGAAATGAAACAACCTCCTTCGACAGCAGTATTCTTTGATACCATGAGAACTATCGATCATCTCAAGACCTGCGCGAGGGGCCTGTAGCGAGGATCATCATTTTCCTATAGAAGAGGCCAGCGCCGATCACCACCCTGGTAAACGTAAGTAATCTTCAAGCAAGCACGAAATTCTCTGCAAGTATCTCAGGCTCCCGGCGATGAACAGTGCGACGGCGCTCCAAGCAGACATGCACGTGGCGTTGCAAGAGTATAGAAATACGCTCCTGCAACAGGCTCCGCGTTCGGCCTGGCGACCGTCCGAGGGGTTCATCTGCAGCTTTGCACAACGAGTCCAGTATACGTCGTCCCTCTATATTCAAACCATCGGCATAATATTTAATTGGAATTATTCATCATCTCAACATCATTATCTATAAGATTATTATTGATTTCAATCTTACGATTCTGAAATTTGGCGTTCATGGAATTCTAGAGATTATTATGGATATTCTTACAAATAAGATTCGAGAACCTGAAGATTTTAATGATTGTATCTAATTATTATAAATAGATATAATAAATATTGTCATGGGGCAAATATCAATCATTTATTGGTATTGCTCTTATGGTCTCCGATATAAATTGGAATTTATGATCTTTTACCAGATTTATCAGGATAATGGTTCGTAGATGGGATGACACTTATAATTATTTTATATAAATTATCGATCTAGGGATTATTACCATATTTGATTTTGGAGATCCCTATATTATTTCTTCTTCAGAAATATTGGTGATGGCTAAAATATGAATTGAAAATAAATTAAGGAATCGTTAATGATCACGAGATATTAGGAATAAGGAATGGAATTTGAATTTCTTGTAGGTGAGATTGTTGGTGGTCTTGATCCGGAGGAGAAATGTATCTTGTCATCTTTGTGTCGAACGATGGATGATCATCATTAGAAGTCGTATGGTATGCCAAATCTTGAAGAAATATCTTTCGTTCATATTTCAGAGATATATCCATATTTATTTGGGATGGATCCGAGATGGGGATGATAATCGAGAATTCTTCTTCTCATTTTATATAATATCATTTTGATGGATGATTGATTATATTTTTCTTTCTCTGGAGAAATATTTTGATTATATTTATCGGTATCTCGTGCAGGCATTGAGATGACCGATAATTTCTTTGTCATCAAAGATTATCTGCTATTGAGGATATTTGATACGTTCTTCAATTTCATGATAATTGAATTTCTTGATTTCATTTGAGATGTCTTCTTTCTCCTTCTTCTGATATGATTCTATATCTTTGGATTTAATTGGGGGTGGTATTGGATATTTCATACATTATCTAGAGATTTGTAGTCGTCTGATGATATTCGTTACTTTTGGCGATTAGAAAAATTTTGGAAATCTTTGATGATTTCTATTTGATATTTTGAATGAAGAAGTCATTTATATTGATTTTAGAGATTATATATCATCTTGAGCAGAAAATTATAATATTTTTTATAGTTTTCTTTCCATCATTGATCAATTATTTTCAAGATATTAATCATTATGATATTCTCTATTTTATGAAATTTTTCTTGATATTCTGAGGAATAGAGATCTCTTTGATATTTCCTCTCGAGTTGACGCTTTTGGGGATGCAAATTCCTCGCATCATTTTGGAAATATAAATCTCTCTCAATGAATCCAATTCATACGAGCGAATTGAAAATAATCATCTCGATTCATAGGGCATCCATTAAGATATTAATCATTTCTTGGATCAATCCCAGATATTGAAAGATCTTTATTTATATATATCTCAAAAGGTGATTGAAATAACTGATATTATAAGAATTCATATGCGCCTACGAAATTTGATGGCGATTGATATCATAATATGATTTTAATATTCATCTTTCCTTACCCGGGATATATCATTCTCGAATCTTGCACTTTCGGATATTATGAGGATACATCTTGGATTCGATATATTCGGAGAGGGGGAATATTGCATTTTCTGCATCCATATTTTGGATTCCTATGGATATCATATATTTGATATATGAAGCAAGGCTATAAAAATGATATCCATATTTATTTATAGAATATTATCTTCAAATATGCCCATATAATTGGATTCAAATCGGAATCGGATCCCCCGGATTATTTCCATAGGATCCCCTTATCGTCCGGCTGATATTCTTATCTCGACCCTCCCATGATGAAGCAGAATTCTTGGACTCGTTTTCGTATGATCTTGGACGAACCTATTTCAATCCCAAAAAATTGTCGGAGCTGCCATTACACCATTCAGTGCTACGAATCATTATATGGAGAGAAAATGCATCCATCAATGATTGGTCGATCGTTATAAAGCGGTACGATTTATCTTTTATTGGTCATCAACCGATGAATTAACTACTGCCCATAAAACGATGAGGAAGAAATAATTGAAAAATATTATCAGACCTTCTCTTTCGGAGACATATCATTAAGATCTTCATACTTTGACCCTCAACGAGCCCAATCTACAGAGCCAGATACTTGGACCCTTCAAGAAGCCCAGCCTTAA